TTGCACCTGAAGGGAGTGCCTAGCTTGAGTGACAAGGGAATCTGTGCCACTGAGCCCTACAGGACACTATATAAGGCCACTCTAACAAGCCCAGTAGACATAACAGCTCCACCTAATACATAGAAACCAACACAGGGAGGCCGCCAAAATGAGGAGACAAAGAAACATGTACCAAATGAAAAAACAGAACAAAACTATAGAAAAAAAACTTTAAAAAATGGAGACAAGCAATTTATCAAATGCAGAGTTCAAAACACTGGTTATAAGGATCCTCAACTATCTCAGAGAGAAAGTCAACAAAGAGATTAGGAAACATGAAAAGAGAACCAGAAAACATAAAAAAGAACCAGTCAGAAATAAAGAATACACTAACTGAAATAAAGAATTAATTACAGGGAATCAACAGTAGAGTAGGTAAAGCAGAGGGTCAAATCAGCGATTTGGAATAAAAAGAAGCATAAAACACTCAATCAGAACGCAAAAAAAGAAAAAAGAATCCAAAAAATGAGGATAGTGTAAGGAGCCTCTGGGACAACTTCAAGCATTTCAATGTATGTGTCATGGGGTTGCCAGACGAAGAGAGAGCAAGAAATTAAAAAAATGACAGAAAACTTCCCTAACCTGGTGAAGGAAATAGACTTACAAGTCCAGAAAGTCAGAATCCCAAACAAGATGAACCCAAGAGGCCCACACCAAGGCACATCATAGTGAAAATGCAAAAGGTTAAAGACAAAGAGAGAATCTTAAAAGCAGCAAGAGAAAAGCAATTAGCTGCCTACAAGGGAGCTCCCATAGGACTGTCAGCTGATTTCTCAACAGAAACTCTGCAGGCCAGAAGGGAGAGGCAAGAAATATTCAAAGTGATGAAAAACATGGACCTACAACCAAGATTGCTCTACCCAGCAAAGCTACCATTTAGAATCTAGGGACATATAGAGACCTTCCCAGACAAGAAAAAGCTAATGGAGTTCATCTCCACCAAACCAGTATTACATGAAATGTTAAGGGCCTTTTTTAAGAAGAAGAAGAAAAAAGATTAAAAATATGAACAATAAAATGGCAGTAAAAACATATCTGTCACAAGTGAATTTAAAAAATAAAATAAACAAAGTAGAACAGAAACAGACTCATAGATACAGAGAACATTTTGATGGTTGCCAGATGGGAGGGGTTTGGGGAGATGGGTGAAAAAGGTGAGGGGATTAAGAAGCACAAAGTGGTTGTCACAGAATAGTCATGGGATGTAAAGTGCAGCATGGGGAGTAGAGTCAGTAATATTCTAATAAGTATGCACGGTGTCAGGTGGGTATGAGATACATCGGGATGTTCACTTAATAAGTTATGTAATGTCTAATCATTGGGGTATACACTTGAAACTAATATAATATTGTATGTCAACTATAATTGAAAAATAAGAAATGATTTAAAAGAGAAAGAAAATACTAATCAAATTGTTGACCTAAATTCAAACTTACCAATAATTACATTAAATGAAAATACTCTAAACAAACCAATTAAAAGACAAGGATTGTCAAATTTAAATTTTTAAAAAGACTCCACTATAAGCTCTTGACAAGAATCTCATTTTAAATGAATGACATAGGTAGGTTAGCAGGATGAAAATAATACTCCGTGCAAGTATCAACAAAAAGAAAACTGGGGCAGCTCTATTAATATCAGGCAAAGTACACTTCAGAGAAAAGAAAATTACTGGACATTAAAAGGGCATTTGCCATTGTACTGTAAGTCCTAGTCACTGCAAAAAGGCAAGTAAAAGAAATAAAAGGCATACATATTGGAAAGGAATAAAAAAAAAAACTGTCCCTATCATAGACAATCTGATTGTCTATATAGGAAATTCCAAGGAATATACAAAGAGAAAAAGCTACTAGAACTAATCGGTGAGTTTGGCAAGGTCACAAGATATAAGGTCAACATGTAAANAGACAATCTGATTGTCTATATAGGAAATTCCAAGGAATATACGATGAGAAAAAGCTACTAGAACTAATCGGTGAGTTTGGCAAGGTCACAAGATATAAGGTCAACATGTAAAAATTAATCCTATTTCTATGTACTATTAATAAACAATTAGAAACTGAAGTTTTAAAAATAGTACCTTTCATAATAAGTCCTAAACAGGTAAAAATATTTGGGTATAAGTCTAACAGAACATGTGTGGGATCTGAAACTCCAAATCTCGGATAAAAGACCTAAATAAAATGGAAAGTCATAGCACACTTGCTGATCGAAAGACAGCGTAGTTACGACATCAGGTATCCCCAAACTAATGCAGTTCTGACAGAGGTCACAGCAGGGCCTTTTCTGCAGATATAGGCAAGGTGATTCTAAAATGTATATGAATAAGCGAAAGAGCTAGAATGGCCAAAACCATTTTGATAAAGAAAACAATGTTGGCGGGCTCGCACTAGCCAAGTTTAACATGTGCTATAAAGCCGCAGTAATAAAGACAGCGAGGTGTTAACACCAGGACAGGCGCAGGATCGATGGCCCAGGGCTAGAGGCTAGGCCAACAGCCTCTCAGCACGGGTGCAAAAGCAATTCAATGGGGAAACGAGGGGTTTCAGCAAACGGTGTTGGTACACTGGGGTATCCACACACAAAAACAAAACACCTCAACTTATACCTTACTCCTTATACAAAAATTAACTCAAAATGATCACAGGTAGAATATAAACCAAAACTTTTCAAAGAAAATGTAGGAGAAATCTTCGCGACCTTTAGTTAGGCAGAGAGTTCATAGACATGGCACCAAAAGCATGATCCATTAAAAATTACCCGCAAATCGGACTTCATCAGAATTTAAAATGTGTGCTCTGCTGGACGAATGGAGAAAAAACAAACTCCATATGGGGAGAAAATAATTGCAAATTACACATTTTGCAAAGCACTTGTAATCAGAATACATAAAGACCACCCAAAATGCAACATTAAGACATAAAATAGGCCAAAAATTGGAACCTCCCCTATAGAGTTCCATGCTCAGTAAGCTCTCACACATCGCTGGTGGGAAGGAAAATGGTTGAGCCACCCTGGCCCTCAATAATTGATAAGCAAATTGTGGATCATCAATATAATACTAGTGAGTAATAAAAAGAATGAACCGTGTGTACACACAACAATATGGATGCATTTCAGAGGCATTATGCTGAGCGAAAGAAATCAGTAACAAAAGGCTACGTAATGTATAATTTGTTCCATTTGTATGACATCTATAAGGCAAAATTATAGGGACAAAGAATAAATAGATCAGTGGTTGCCAGGGTTTAATGGTTAGGGGAAAGTTTATCTATAAAGGGGCAGGATGGGGAAATTTTGAGGAATGATGGGACTGTTTTTTATTCTGATTCTGATTCTGATTGTTGTTATGTGAATGTTATATGTATTAAACTTCATAAAACAATCTACCAAAAATTTAACTCCACTGTATGTAAAAAAAAAGTTTAACCCTTCAGGACAGAAAATAGTAGAGCAATGTCTACAGAGTTCTTTCTGAACAGACAGAACTGATACCCAGCCAAGCTTTCATTTGTATAATGTGATGGCGACACACAGACATTTTCAAGTGTTCATAAGCTCAGACAACACAGGAGCAATGAGGCATTCATGGGAAGAGTACTTATATATGAAATTCAGCCAATAAAGAGATAAATCAAAATAAAGAATTCGGGAAACAAAAGGAGTAGTGGTGAGCACTGAATTATTTCAATACATAATTAAGTTTCAACAGCTCCAGTAATAATTATGGTTGCCAAAAAAAAGTCAATGTTTTAAATCTTGACAATATGAAAATAATTAACAAAAATTGGCAAGTTAGGAAAGAGAAAATGAAAATAATTTTAAGGGTGCTAATGCCATCATGTTTCATAACAGGGAGTGATCTCATACTCTCTAGAATAAAAACGTAATTAAAGACTACTCTATTCTCTTGTATTTTATAAATTTCTTAACCTTAAAGTAATTTTAAAGAACATTTTGAGTTATTTTTAGAATTACAGAAAAGTTAAAAAAAATAATACAGAGAATTTGGTATGCTACTCACATTTTACTGTTAATGTTAACATTTTATGTGGCCATGGTACAATCACCAAACAAAAAAATCGGCATCGACAGAACACTATTAACAAAACTACAGGCCGCATTAAAATATTGTCCGTTTCCCCACTGCTGTCCTTTTTCCAGTCCAGAATCCTATCCAGGGTCTCACACTGCATTTAGTTGTCGTATCTCCTTAATAATTCCCTCAGAGTGACCTGTTAAGAAACAATATCCCACGGGTGAAGAAAAATTCTTTGAAAATCAGCAATTGCTTTAATTTCACTTCACTTGTTTTTTCCTTTAAGTTCAGGTAAACTAAAATTTAATACTTTTATTTAAAATATTACTGCAATATTCATCAGAAAAAAAACACCACCACCTCATCAAGGTGCTGAGATGCTCTCTGAAACCTTTATTTAGCCAGAAAATAACACAATGCCCAGGAACTGTTGTAGGGGAAGGGAAACCTTTAGAAAAATTTCCAGCCCAGCCGGGCATGGCTCAGCCCTTGAGCATCTACCTGGGACCCAGGAGATCGCAGCTGGATTTCCGGTCGGGGCACAGGCCCGGGTTGCGGGCTCCATCCCTAGTCCAGGGTGTGCAGGGGGCAGTCGATCAATGACTCTCTCTCGTCATTGATGTTTCAATTCCCTCTCTCCCTCCCTCTGAAATCAATAAAGATATAGTAAAAAAATTTTTTTCAACCAGGAGTGATCAGGTCTGTATATTTCAAAACATACTTTGGGCAGCTATGCAGAGGATGAATTAGGAGGCTAAACCTGGGGGAGGCAAGTTGGAAGGCTGTTATAACCATAAGACAGGTAGACCATTCAGCTCTGAGTAACAGAAAATTCAAATAATCAGCTTTTTCACCAAGGACCCGTTTTTTTTGTTTGGTTTTTCTGGTCTTTCTGTTCCATCATCTTTGCTTTCATCTTTATGGTTGTCACTCCACGGTTCCCAGATGGCTGCCACAGCTCCAGACGTCACAACCACATTCAAAGAAAGAAAAATTTAGAACAGGTAGAAGGCTCTACATTTATTCCTTTTACTTCCAAAAGGCTTTTGCTTCCATCCCCTTGGCTGTAACTGTCACTAAGTGCAAAAGAGGCTGGGAAAGTTCGCATTCACCTGAGAGTGCGCAGTACAGGCACCAACAAAGTCGTGATGCGTTCAGTACGGAAGACGGAGGGAATGTGTATTTTGGGTCAACGATTATCAATGCCAAGTACGAAACCAAGAGCCCCGAACTGTGTCAGTGAATGAGGACGGGAGCTGGGCAGACACATCTGAGGCTCCTCGGAGAAGCAAGGGCAGAGGGGAGCGAAGGGCGCCCCGTTCCTGCGCTGGGAGGAGAGGCGAATGGGGGCGCTGCGACTGAAGCAGAAAATGCTGCCTGCTGTTTCCTTGGAGCTCCCAGTACACTGAGCAGCAGTAGGTGAGTGTCCCTTGATTAATATTTAACATAATTATCAAAACAGCACCATCTAATAAGCATATGCAATGGACTAACCATGGTACCAAATGTTTTATATGTATTATTTTATGTAATCCTACAACAACTCAGTGAGTTTAGTCTGTTTGGGTCATTGGAATACCATCAGTGTCCAGAAGAGCACCTGATACATAGTAGGTGTTCTATCAATATTAAACAAAGGAAGAAAGAAAAGCAGGATTGTTACTATTTGATGGGTGAAAAATCTGAGTCAGGGAAGTTAAAGAGCCTGCCTGCCTAAGGTCACATATCTGTAGTGTGGTAGAGCCAAGAGTTCAGCCGAGCTCTGCGCTGTCCTGCCATGGTTTGCCATCTTTCTGCTAAACAAAGCTATGAAACTCCCATTTCTTTCCATGGAACTTCTTCAAATGGAAAATGGAGCCACAGCAAAATCAGACACCAAATCCTTCCATTGCTTTCAAAGCCCTGGGTGATCTGGCCTCCCAAAGCCTCCAGATCCAGTCTCCTATCACTCTCTCCTCCTTCCCTCGCTCAAGCCACCTGCCCCTTGCTCTGTGAGAAGACACAAAGGCTTTCTCAACCTCAAAGCTGTCCTCAGGTTCCTCTCTCTGCTTATAAAGATCTGCTCAGCTCCCAAATGGATGGATGGCCCTTTCTCGTTATGAACTCTCAGAAGCTTCCCTGACTCCAAGACTAGCTCAAGCTCTCCAGGTACAGAATCTCTTAATACCACCTGCCTCGTTTCTATAACACTCCTTGGAGCCTGTAACTAAAAAGTTATTGGCATGGTTATCTGTTGATTGTCTGGATTCATGCTAGAATGTAAGCACCACAAAGGCAAAATACCTGACTTGTTCACTATATCCTCAGTGTTCAGTACAGTGTCTGGCACCAAGTAAACGCTCAGTACATATTTATGTACTGAGTGGGTGTATATAATCGGTGGGTAGATGTAACTAATGGTTGAATGAAAAACAGATGGAAAAATGGATGGATGGATGGATGGATGGATGGATGGATGGATGGATNTGTGCCTGAAGGGATAGATAAATGAATGTAAAAGATGGGTGTATATAATCGGTGGGTAGATGTAACTAATGGTTGAATGAAAAACAGATGGAAAAATGGATGGATGGATGGATGGATGGATGGATGGATGGATGGATGGATGGATGGACGGATGGATGGATAAAAGACTTTCTCTAGACCACGTTTCCCAGGGGATTCTCCACCTCACACCCCCCCGTTTCCTGGCAGGGTGCCTCCTGCCGCAGCTTCGATTGCTCCTCTCTTTGCTGACAAGGGCCTGGGTGGCTCTCACCTGGGCCTACACTGCTGGGAAAGCAGCCAGGAGACTCTAGATCTGACGTGGGTGCGCAGCAGCGAGAGACTGCCGGCCCAGGTGGAAATGCTCTCCCCGAGAGAAGGTGGGCCCATGGCAGTGATGCAGCAGAGAGGGCCCTGGCAGTCAGTCTGTCCTGTAGGAACAGGTAGAGTTCAATCTGACCTGAGCCGCGAGCCACACCGTCGCCTCCGCTCCACCCGCATCCCTGAGCGGCACCTCTGTGCACGCTGCCACCGGAGCAGGTGCAAACATATGTACTTATATAGACGGGAGCGCCAGCCTTCTGAGTCACTGCAGCCTTGGGGAGAAAGGCGCTTTCTCACCATCCCTCCTCTTGTGTTCAGTAAAAGCCGGTTCAAGGAAGTAGAGCGGAGGCGGCTGAGGGGCTGGAAGTGCCAGGAGTGGGAGGAGAGGTCAAGGAATCTTCCAGCAAACAATTTCAGGATGAGATGNCAGTCTGGGAGGGCTGCTGACTGACAGGAGGAAGGGTGGGGGTGGATAAAGATTCAGACTTTGAAACCAAATAAATGGAGATTCAAATTCCAGGTTCACCATGTACTTGCTGCCTGACCTGGGCAAGTTATTTAAAGTCTCTGAGCCCAAGCTCTCACCTCAGTGGAGATTTTGTGTGTGTGTGTGTGTGTGTGTGTGTGTGTGTGTGTATTGCCTTCTGGAGTTCGTGTGAGTCTGGAATAAGACGATGAATGGAAAGCCCGGTACAGGGTAAACACTCAAAGACCACCATCCTCNTTGCCTTCTGGAGTTAGTGTGAGTCTGGAATAAGATGATGAATGGAAAGCCCGGTACAGGGTAAACACTCAAAGACCACCATCCTCGCCATCAAGGTAATACTTTTTCAGTGTTTAGTATGTGCCCGGATCAAAAAGCACTTATAAGTTCTAACTCACTCAGTCCTCACAATGGCCCTAGGAGAAAGATACTGTTATTCCCTCCACCCCTAATTTTTGGACGAAAACAAGTGAGACACAAAGAGGTTAAGTGACTTGCCCAAGGCCACACCCCTACCAATTGGTGGAACCAGGCCTTGAACTCAGAATATAAACCCAGATCTAGAGGGTCACAAATCCACCCCAGGATTTTTTTTAGCTCCCTTCTTGCACCCTTAATTGTGATGATCCCTTTAGTCAGCCTTGATGACCAGGGGAAATTGTTGCTTTGATCATTGATTACTGTCAAGTGCCAGGTATTTTACAAGAAGGAGAAGCAGTATTGTGTAGTGTTTATGGTTCGAAGTCCATACTCTTTTTCATGTTAAAGAAGAGATTCATAACAATATTAGCTAATCAGGTGAATGATCTAACTTGGATGGCATCACACAGGGAGAGGCTTTGACTCAAATCAGGTCCTGCTGTCACTTACCTGCTATACAACTTTGAGCAAGTCAGTTCCCCTCCAACGCTCTTTCAGCTATTCCCAGGTCACTAAGGTCACTCCAGACTGAATAGGAGAGGACATAGACCCCATCTTTTGCTGGCAGAGGGGTCAAAGAATTTGTGGACATGTTTTCAAACTACCACAATGTTCTACAAAAAAAAAAAAGACAATAAACAACAACACAGCCTTCTCACCAAGAGAAAATCACAATCAATATCTTGGTGTCTACATTTATGGACATTGTTGTTACTAATATTTATAAAAATGGGTTTTAGTCAAGACTTTAATGTAAATGATAAAATAAATGTATTATTGCCTAGAGTTGAAAATTCAGGAGCAGGTGGACCCAGGGGCTCGGGGAATGTCATCAGAATCTGTTGAGCTGCACCTGTTGGTTCTACTTTCCCGTTTGGTTTGATCTCTGGCGAGCACATGATGGCAAAAGGGACACTATGGCTCTTGGCATGCATGGTCCTCAGTCCTTATGCCTGTCGAAAGAGAGTTGCTTCTTTCCTGAGAGGTCTGTCATCATCCTGGCAATGACCCTCATTAGTCCAGCTTGAGTCATGAGCCCGGGGTGTCCTTTAATGTCCTGGTCTAGCCAAGAAGACCCTGGGGAGATGAAAAGCTCATGTCCACTACTGAAACCATAGCACACATGCAGTGTGTTCCCTGCTTCTTTCTGATTATCTTTTTAACTGTGTCAATGGATATGCTTCCAACATCATTTAGAATGACTGCTTTGTAGCCCTAGGAATGGAGGCTCCATTTGTTTATTTAATTAAGTCCCAGTTGTTGAATATTTAGCTATTTCCAATTTTTCACTGCAATAATCAGCACAGTATGCCCTCTAACTGAATCTTTGCAAGCATCTACTATATGTTATTTCTAGACGTGGAATTGCTAAGTCAAAGGACATGCATGTTTTTCATGCTCTTAGTGCTTTCTGGTGAAATTGTCTTCAGGAAAAGTTGTAACAACTTGTACTCCTACCTACATGATTTAGGATTGCTGATTTCCCCTCGCTCATATCTATACCAGGTCCTAACACTTGAAAAACAAAATCTTCTTCAAATAGACAAAATGCTGTTTTGTGGTTTTAATTTGCATATTTTTTTATTGCTAGTGAGGCTCAGTAAATTTCAACTCCTGTACTAACTGCATTTCCTAGTAGAGAAGCAAAATGCCTGTAATAGCAGACTGGTTAGGCCCACAGCCCCCACTCCCTGAGAGGCAGGGGAAAGTACCAGGAGCACTAATTGTAGTGGCAATTTAAATAATAGTAGCTACTGTTACAAAGCCTTTACTATAATCATGTTGTGCCCAAGACTCCCCATTCACTATCGTTTTAAACCTCCTCAGACGTCATACATCGTGGTCCCTCCGTTAGGCCCCCCTCTTACAGATCTAGAGCTTTCTTTGCTCAGACTCCCATTTCATGGCTATAAAGTCCTCCCTTCTGATTTCTGCAACGGGCCTTTCTTAGCTGTGCCCTCTGTTTTATCCCCTGTCTACTCAGCCTCTTCACTTTTTTGTCCAAGAACTCGACTCACACAGAGCATTTTGTGTTATCAACTTGACCAAAGACTTGGGAGCCGCAGGAAGCAGGCAAGAGGCTTCCTGCAAAGTCTGTCTAGCAGTGTCATCGTTTCTTGTTTTTTTCTCTCCCTCTCAGGAGCAAAATGCATTCCTTTCCCTGTCTGTACAGCACCACAGAAATTGCCTTTGGTGGTTTAAACATAACATGGGCTTATTGAAGTATTTATTTCTATACAAATAAAAGGGAGAAAATGGAAAATAAAATGTTCTCTCGGGCTTTTAACATCTATAAGGTAGGGGGCTTAATGGACTGCTCCATTTTATACATGAGAAAACCTAGGATAAAAGAAATAAAATAATTTGTCTGAGATCCTACACTTACACAGCCTAAGAAACTATCAGGGATGCTGCCTTGGCAACAAGAACTAGCTACTTGACCCTGAGCTTGCAGCACATCTTCTTGCCCCAGGCCTCCCCTCCCGCTCCTTCCTGTGCTTCTCCCATTATCTGAATATCTGTGGGACAAACAGACCCGACCCCCGTCCTTCAACCTGTGCAACAGCTCAGCCTGTCAGAGCTGGGGAGGGGTCACGGCGCACGCCCACGGCAGCAGGGAGGCCAGGGCAGCAGTGACCTCCGGACCTCGCCCTCCAGCACCCTCAGCCCTCAGCCCTGAGAGCAAGGCCTGGAGCAGCTCCGAGTGGGCGCAGCTCCCGGGCCTGGACGGAGACGGCGGGTGCCCAGGCCGACGGCTGACTCACTCCCCGGGGCCCTTCCCGCTCCCTCCGCTCAGGCTGAGCTGAGACCTCGCCTCCGCCTCCCGAGCGCTGCTCTGCGGGGGGGCTCGGGCAGGTTTCTGAAAAGCAATTATGCTTATTACTGGTTAGGATTTCAGAAAGCTCCTGTGTTTGCTGCGCTTCATTCTCAGCCCTACCCATCACTCATTCTTCCTGACAGCCCCATTTCGCAGGTGGCAACCTGTGCGGATGGGGAGCAAGGGAGGAAGGCTGCAGCGAAAACCGAAGATGGAAAGAGAGGTCCCGCAGCCGGTGTCCAGGGGTCCCCGAGACCTGGCCCCGGCCGGCTCAGTTCCGTGAGCCAAGAAATTCCCTCCTGTACTTGGGCCCCCGGGAGGTGATTTTCTCTCACTTGCAGTCAGACGGCTTCTATTATGCCTCTTATATGTGATGACTTTAAAAAGATACATTCTAAGTATGTGTGTGTGTGTGTGTGTGTGTGTGTAGTACATATATATATATATATATACACTAAAACAAACTAAATATTCATATATAATATGTGAGAATATATATTAACATTTAGTTTGTTTCTCTTTTTTTCTTTTTTTCTTTTTTTCTTTTTTCGGCCCAGCTCTATCCAGCCCCCCACCCCCGGCCTTCACCACTCTGTTGTCTGTGTCTGTGGGTTATGCATATAAGTTCTTTGGCTAATCCCTTCCCCTAGTTATATATATTATAATACAATAATATATAGTAACATTTAGTTTGCATTTCAAAATAAGGGCTCATTTTTTAAAAACTAAAACCATAAAAAAACTATATAAGGTACAGATTTGGGGTTAACAGTAACCGATGGAGCACATGGGCTTACCTCTGCACCCTTCCAAGTTCCCACTACAAGTAAAGAGATGAAAGAAGTGATCCCCAGTGTGGAGAGGACAAGAGAGAAGACAACGCCCTAAAACATGGAAGCAACGCAGCAATGGACAAATGGTGACTGACTCCAGACTCAGAAAGCTAAACCTATGCTCGGCAGTGGAGACACAGAAAAACCATCCAATTTACGCTGTCAACTCCCCCAAAGGCTCAGGAATTGAAGGTGTTATGTGCCTCTTAAAATAGGGCCCACACAGAGCAGGAAATGGCAGGTTTGTTAAAAGTCTATAAAAGAAGCAGTTATAATAGCTTCTGAGAGAGGACTCCCCCTCCCCCAGGCATAATATTAGAGGGTGTCTTTCTGGATTGAAACAAGAGACTCTGGCCTTGGGGGTTTCCATCTGGAAATCAGGAGGGAGCTGAGTTAAGTGAGAGGTAGAATCTGAAGGCTGAGACCTCATTCTCTCTGCTCTGAGTCAGGCTTTTCCTGCAGCAGGCAGACAACTGGAAGAGTCCACTCTGGAAAAATGAGCAGCCTGAGAGCAAAGGCCCACAGGTACTCACGGCTGGGGCTTCCTGCAAAAAAACAGCCAGCCGGCAGTCCTTTCCCAACCAGCACCTTTCTCATGTGCATTTATTTGCATGGATAATCACTTACAAAGGAGGGAAGGTTGTAATTACCAGCACTGCTCTGCCACTAGCTTTTTAAATTTAATAACATACCGTGGACACACCCCATGTCTGTACATAAAGCCTATATGTGCAGGGGACTTACATGGATAAAGAACAGGGTAGTCACGCAGTCTCTGAGTATCACCCCATGAATTACTCAGTTACAGAGGGAGGAGGGTCCCTCTCCAGTGACAAATCTGGTCAACACTGTTTTAAGCAAAGGACCAAATTTGGAGTCACCGATGAGGGACGCACTGATATCACATGCCTTCTTATGTGATGCACTAACAAGGACACAGCATTACTACTAAGGCCCTCCCGCCCAAAACGCACGCCCTGAATCTAACGAGGACATTCTGAGGATAACTGGAGAAATGTGACAATAGAATGTAAACTTGAACGTAGAATATATTAATGTTGAAGATCCCGAGTGCGGCACGAATATGGCAAAATGTTAACGATTGATGGAATACGTACAGGACACATGGGTGTTCGTTGTACTACTCTTGCAAGTCTCCAGTTGGCTTGAAATTTTTCAAAATGAAAAGCTGGGGGATGAGGGAGTTGGCCTCTGGAGTCTGAGCTGCACGATCCATTTGGAAGGTGACTCAACTTCTCCAAGTGCCTTCTCCCTAAAGGGTGATAATAATGGAACCTGTTGAATTAAAGGAGATAGTGCCTGCCAGGTGTGTATCAGAGCCTGACACAGTAAATGTCAACTGTCATTATCATCTGCCTCGCTCCCCTAATGGATGCATAATTCCATTGTCTCGAGTTTCTCTTGATTTGGCAGGAAGTCATCACCCAGCTAATGAGCTCTGCTATTTTCTTGTAAGTGCAAGATAAGGTGGTCACAGTTTGGATGTGCAGAAAGAGGTCTTGCTCTGACTGTAGAGTTTGGATGCCTGACTGGTGGACACCTGTGATTTAGAGCCCCTTTCCCTACCTCCTCCAGGTGATAGAGTCCCCTTTTCAGAGGGGGAAGTCATTCAATGTGGTTTGAGTTAATTCTGCTTCCTCTACTGCCACTGGGATAGCCACCCACCCAGGCCTGGATAAAGCTCTTTCCTCCAGGCCAGAGAGGTTGCTTTACGGATCAGCATTATCGCAGGGAGGGTCCTCCCTAAGTTCTCTCTCCCACCGGGATGTGGAATACCTAAAACGAACCAGAAATACACAGTGGATAAAGCCCAGCCCCGGCCCCAGGCAGTCCTTGAGTCTAGACGGGAGACAGACAAAATATAGATCCAACTCCCTATTATCCCAAATCCCAAATAGATGGATAGTTTTCTGTCATTTCTTCAAATGAGGCACCAAAATTGAACTTCTCAAAAACCTCTTTATCTACAAGGTAGAGATTTAAAGTTGCCTCTAAAAGACCTGCAAGGAGCAATTTCCTCCCAATTACGCACTAGTTTCTCATCAACATCATTCCCTTGGGAAGTATTAATAGAGGGGAGATGGTACTGGATGATAGTGTCAGGGAACCTGCACTATTTAATAACTTCTGAAAATCCCCAAAGTTTAATGACAATGCTTTTCCTTTGAACTCTTAACTTTTTTTTAAAGCCCTCTCCTGCTCTTTCATTGTACTGTGTTCAGACCATCCTTTGACGCAAGTGGGACAAATATAGTCATATTTGTCCCTCTGATAGCAGAGGGAGTGGCACAGTGTCACAGAGAAGCTCACAGGCTCTGGCGTCAGACTGGCTGCATGCACTCTTGACTCTGCCAATTAGCAGCTTCGCAATCTTGGGCCAGTGACTGCTTTTTTGAGCGTCAGTTCCCTCATTTGTAAAATGGGTGTTTAAAACTACCTACTTCATGGCATTGTGGTAAACCTCAAATGAAATAATGAATTCAGTGGCAAAACCTGGCTTGTAGTAAGTGTTCAGTAAATATTAGCCATAATTATTATTATTATTACTGCAGACAGTCCAGGGGCGACAAGGATAGAAAAGCAATCATGGAGAGCTGCCAGGCAGAAGCGTAGTATTAGACACTGAGGCAGATACAAAGGGCCAAGAAAATTGTCCTTGCTCTTAAGGATCTCACAACTAGGTTGGGGAAAAGGGACAGAATGGGGGGGGGGGAGATAATGCAAACCATTAAAAGGAGTTTCTTATGAAAGATGTTTCATGGTGGCACCAATGCTCAGACACGCAGTATGAGGACATCTGTTACAGGCAGATGTGGTATGAGAAGTTTCTTGCCAAATTCTCAGAGTGAAGCAATATTAGGGGTCATGAAGTCAGCCTGGTCTAGCATTCAGGTCTGTTCGATGCCAAAGCTCCTGATCTTTCTGACACCTCACTGCCTTCACTGATTTCTCTCTACATCTCCACAAGTGCTGAGGCACAGGAGATGCTTGTTTCCTGTTGGTGGAGAGGATGGAAGGGTGGGTAGATTACGCACAGTGGGTGGAGTGTGGAGAGATGGATGGATGGTGCATAATGAATGGCTGGGTGGTGGCTACATTCATATATAGTGGATGGATGGGTGGGTGGTGGCTGGGAGAATGGTAGGTGGATGGATAGTTGGATAGTTGAAAGATGAATGGATGGGTGGTGGATAGATGGACAGGGGCACAGAATTGCTTTATACCTAAAAACTCACAAGGTACAACCATTAGATTAGGCACTAGCCAGGGATGACGTGAGATGAAGAAGGAAGCGAGTGTAGTCAGGTACTTAAGTGCAAGTTGCTCCCTGATAATTATCAACTACTTAATGGTAGTTAATAGCACTTACCATGCACGAGAGCCTGTGCTCAACCCTCTGCAGAGACCATCTCCCGGAGGTCCTGAGGTCACTGATACTACACCCATAAAGAACCTGGAGCACAGAGAGGCCCGTCTCCAAGTTGCACAGCAAGTAGTTGGCAGAATCAGGACTCAGACTCAGGCTGCTGAAAACTCCAAACTCCTGTTCTTCACCCCTGTGGTCAAGTTCTGTGATTGACCTTTATCTTCACATAAAAAACTCATAATACCAACTAGAAGTCCAAAAATATTTCCCAGGCAAGGAGCTACCTACGCTGAGTCTTAAAGGCCAGGAGAAGAAAGGGCTGTCCAGGCAGAAAGAGCAGAGAGTCCAGCACCAAGGAGNTCTGAGTCTTAAAGGCCAGAAGAAAGGGCTGTCCAGGCAGAAAGAACAGAGAGCCCAGCACCAAGGAGATATAACATGTCCTTCCTAATTGTGAGAGCAAAGCAGGAAAAAAGACAAGACTGGAGAGNGCTGAGTCTTAAAGGCCAGGAGAAGAAAGGGCTGTCCAGGCAGAAAGAGCAGAGAGTCCAGCACCAAGGAGATATAACAAGTCCTTCCTAATTGTGAGAGCAAAGCAGGAAAAAAGACAAGACTGGAGAGGTGGGCTGGGACTGAATCACAGCGGGGCGGGGGGGAGCCTTGAATGCCATAGATAGAATAATTAATAGTAATATTAATAGCAATGCATATTATGAGTCAAGCAAACTGCTAAGCAGTTTCACTTGTATTGTCTCATCTAATCTCAAATATGTGAGATTAATTGCTACTTGATAGCCCAATTTGCAGCTGAGCATGTGAAAGATCCAGTAACTTACTAAATGTCACCAGCTAATAAGTGGCAAGGCCAAGACTTGGACCCGCATCTCTCTGACTCCACGGTCCCTGCTCTGAACCATTACGCTCTACTGCCCGGGGAGCTTGAACTTGACCCATTCCACAAGGAGTGCGACTTCATCCTGTCCCATGAGAAGCCATTGAAAGCTTTAAACAGGCAATAAACCACCTGCTAAAANCAGGCAATAAACAACCTGCTAAAATGTGAGTACTAGAAATACCCTCCTGATGACTATGCAGGTTGGACAGAGGAAGACAAAACAGGTCTGGTCTGTGCGCCCACCTTTGGCCTCTTCTGCGTGCCTGCCTTTGCCTAGACAACCTGCATCTCCCCTCCCAGATTCCTGAGCCCATTCATTGGATGGCAAGTCAGGGAAACTGATTTGCTGTGGGACCTTAAGCANCGCTGTGGGACCCCCACTGGGCCTTAGATTCCTCATGGGACACAAAGGAGCTGGCTCTCAGATCCTTGAGGCCCCAGCTCTGACTTTATACTTCCCTCTGAATTTCTCTGGGNTGCTGTGGGACCTTAAGCAGCACCTGACCCCCACTGGGCCTTAGATTTCTCATGGGACACAAAGGAGCTGGCTCTCAGATCCTTGAGGCCCCAGCTCTGACTTTATACTTCCCTCTGAATTTCTCTGGGACTGTGTGGCTAAATGTGCCACTTATAGTCACTTATAACAGCCTCAGGAAAGTTGACATCTGCATTTTTTCCTCAACTACCATGAAGTTTCATTGGCTCTTCCTCTCAATATAAAAGAGTTATTTTTGGCCGCTGTTCAATATAAGGCTTTGTCCTCCCAGCCAGGCCCTTGGGTGTCATCGCCAGCTTGTCTCTACAGGATCCTCTTCAAGACACCTTTACCTTCTGAGTCACTAACTCCAAGGGGAAGCTATTTATAAGCCTCTGACAGGGCATAATTGTTGATTGCATCTAGCTGAGGAGCTGTCAACAAGTAGCTTTATGCCGGAGATTGGCTCACAAAATGCCAGCAAAGGTGTCATCTGTCACTTGCTTGAGGACTGGGCAAGGTCTGCATTCTATTTAAATGCAGCCCAGGATCTAAACTGGGGGAGGGAGGGAGTTGTAAGCCAAATGGTTAACGTGGCCCTTGGTCCCTGCCCTGTGTATTTAGGTGGGACTAGTCCTTCAGTCTTGGTGAAAGGGCAGGTACTGATGACAGGTGGGCACTATAGTGTGGTGCTCATAGGTGTGGGCTTTAGAGCCAGGCTACCTGGGTTCAAAGCCCAGCTCCAGTTCTTATGGCTGATACAACCTTGAGCAAGTTACCTAACCTCTCTGTGCCTCAGTTTCCCCATGTGGAAAATGGGAATATTGTGGGTTTGAGTCATTGTATGTGAAGTCATAAGAGGAGTATCAAGCACGTGGTAACTGCTCAACAAAAGATTGGATGTTATTATTAGGATTCCAGGGGCACAGAGGCCCCACTGGCCTGAAGAAATAACACAGCATAAGGCAGTGGTCTTCCAAGTGTGCTCCCCAGCTTTACCAGGGAACTTGTCAAAATGCAAATTTTCAGACCCCACCCAGACCCACTGAATCAGGGGTGGGGGAGTCATCAATCTGGGTTTTAACAAGCCTTCTGGGTGATGCTGATGCACAACAAGCCTGAGGCCCACTGCCACAGGCATCCCTCGCTCTTCCTAGAACACTCCCAGTGGGTCCCTTCCCTCAGATGGGCAAAAATGGCTGCAACAGCCTTGGGACTTAAGACAGGCCTTTTCCTTTACCCGAGCCTCACTTCTCTCCACTGTGAAATGGATTGTGAGCAGCCAAGGAATGAGGGCTATGACAAGCCTGAAGGGCCCATCCTGCCTCTCTTTTGTCTTCCTAGAAAACCTGAGGAAGATGTCCTGGGACAAAAGGCAGGGCCCAGTTCTCTGGCTTTGGAAACATATTTTACAGTGGAGAGAAAACCAACAGAGAGATGAGTCCCTGGGCAACTGTCAGCAGTTGGCTCCCTCCTCTGGGCTCCAGTTNGGCAGGGCCCAGTTCTCTGGCTTTGGAA